ATATATTAGTTTTTTTTATTAATTATTAATTATGAAAAATATATTTTATTATTTAAAACGATTAATAAGAAATATATATTATAAAATATTTATTAGAAATATTTTTTCTAAAAATATATAGGAACGAAAAATGTATATCTTATTTTTATTTATTATTTTTTTACTGAAAGATTTGTAATAAAAATGCATTAATTTAAAAATCTATAAAAAAAAATAACTTAATTATTTGCATGTTAAACAGAATATTCAAGGATTTATTGCACCGGTGATTATGCCAAAATATCAAAAGGTTTGATTATGTACGAAGGACGTGTAGATTCGCAAATTAAGGTGAGGGGACATCGTGTGGATCTTACGGAAGTAGAAAAAGCAATATCTAGAATACCTGAAATAGATGGAGTGGTTGTTCTTTGTTATAAACCCGGTGAATTGTCACAGGTATTATTAATTCGATATTTTTTTTTGTCTGATTTTTTTAATTCACTGATCACAATTTATAATATTTCAACTATCAACTAGATTATAAAAAAAATGATATATCGATTTTCAGAGTCTAGTCGCTTTTGTAACTATTGCAAAAGATTCGTCCACTTGCGTATCAAAAATAGAAACCTTTCTACAATCTATACTACCTGTATACATGTTACCACGAGTTATCATCGTGGAAAATATACCACTTTTAACAAATGGGAAAACTGATCGTCAGGCATTATTGAAATACTATGAATCTTCTAATGTTAATAACGGTAATACATTAATAACTTTAAATTTGATATCATATAATTGTAACATTACAAAAAAAAAAAATTTATATTCGATAATCAATGATAGTATTTTAATGTAATGCAAAATGAACTTACAACTTTCATATCTAAAAATCTATCATCAAATTATATCAATATATATATATATATATAAAGTTTGGAAAATTATTATATTCAGTTTATACATTTCTTATTTAGAAAGTGAGCAGTGTATGAATTGTGACTATACTAATGTACTTGAGAAGGATCTCGCCAAGGCGAAAGTTCTGTTTCCAACAGTGGCATCCGTAATTGGTAGTGGAGGTCGTGCAGACATCACGCTTAATGCAAATTTTTACGAACTTGGCGGAAATTCTTTGAATTCGATTTACACTGTGACGAAGCTCCGGGATCAAGGTTATGAAATAGGCATCACAGAATTTATCACGGCAAAAAATTTGGCCGAGGTGCTCGATCGAATGAAGATTAGTACTGAAGACGTGATTTATGAAAATAGTCTTAACGAAGAAGAGCATATCTTTGAAATGTTGAATGATTCTCATAAAAAAGATGTAATAGAGTATGTAAAATTTATCTTAAAAATATTTTTTAAGAATTTGAATTAAATATAAAAAAAAGAATATTCAGAAGAATTGTAAATACTTTTAACAGTTTTTGATATGGCAAGAATAACTTTCAATAATTATCATTTTCAATATAAATTATAATATTAAAATAATTCTAATTAATTCTCTATTAAGATTAATATTAGAAAATATATATATAAATTATAAATATAAGAGAAAAAAAAATTGTTTCAGAATTATTACAGAAAGTTTCTACAGTAAAGCAGATTTAGAACAATGGTTAATGCCGGATATAACAAGGGAAGATTATCAAATAATGATGGAAATACTTTGGAATTCATTGGTAGAAAAAAATTTAAGTTTTGTAGTGAAATCATCACAAGATAATAGAACAATAGGAGTAGGCTTGAATTTTGATCTCTGGGATGAGCCTGAATTAATCCTTGATTCCAAATTGATGATCGTTTTCGAATTCTTGGAATATCTAGAGGCGCCTATTAGAGAACGAAAATTACCAAAAGGAAAGGGTCAGATTATTCACAATTTCATGATGACAACAAGCAGTGATTTAAATCCGGCCGAAAATGTAATTATGATGAAAGAGATGGAAGAATATTGTTTGGAATTGGCTAAAAGGAAGAATATGCTGGCATTTTCACTACAAATACAAGTCCATTAACACAGGTGATAATAAATTTAATATATAAGAAAAAAAAACACTTTAAAATCTTTAAAATTTTTTCTTATTAAAATTTTTAAATTTCTGTTAAAATTTTCGCTAAAAATAAAGCTTAAGAGTCACACTTTTTATTATTTTTACTAGCCTTTTAACGTTTTAATAGCTTTAATAACTCTATATTTGACTTTATTAATTTTTATTTAAAAAGAGATAATTTTATTATTATTATCTTTTTACAACAGCAACTTGGAATAGATGTGTTCGGATACGAAACAATGTTGACTTATCAAGTAAATAGGTACAATGCCCCGGATGGTACGAAACCCTTTGGAAAAGCTCCGGACGATCAACTGGCAATTTGCTCGTTAAAAATGATCACTTAATGGCCTTTGAAAATATTATCAGAATATCAGAAATATTAATGAGAATGTAACATGTTGTTATATTACTATCACTTATAAAATAATAAGTATGTATATATTCATTGAAAGCGATATAGTGAAGTCCTAAATTAAAATATAAACGATGATAGCTGCATTTAATAAAACCGCATTTTATGGCTAAGGAAATTTATCAGGGAATTTTTTACCAAAGAAAAAATTAGTTCTAGCGCATGTTGTATGATTTTGAATAAGACTTTTTTATTCCTTTAAAATATATAGGATTCAACATGTAAACTATTATTAAAGTTTAATATCTAAGCAATCTTATTACCTCACTATACCGCTTTTATCAACGGTATTAATAGCGTCAAATATGATTATGTCTATTAATTTATTTTAATTATGTAAGCTATTTTCTATTTTTATGAAATAATTATTTTGTGAACAATTATCATATGATTATTATTACTATTATGCTTTTATACATATCATAGTAGTACAATAATATTGATAATGAAGTATATAAGTGAATCATATTATTGTAAATATTTTTGTATATAGAATAGTATATATATGATACATAGATATATAATAATAATATATATATATATATATATATATATATATAATATATAATATATAAATATAATGATAAATAAATATATCTTTTGGAAGCTTATCAAATGTAAAAATTTTTTTACGAAATAAATTTGAAAATTTAATAATTATATATATAATTTTTATTAAAAATTGATGGATTATATAAATTATTAAATTATAATAAATTATAAATTATTAAATAATTCAACAAAAGAAGTTCTCATACCTTATTTTTTTAAACTATCAAAAATTATTTAAATATACAAATAACATTATAATAATTTTATATAAATATAAAATAAACTTTTCATTCAATACATTTTTATATTTTCTAGTCTGAATTTCATATTATAATAAATATGAAATTATATAAATATATATAATTATTATATTTTAATGAATATTTATATTATTTATATATCAAAATCAATCTTATAAAATTTGCAATGCAAAATAAACTCGAAAGCACATAGACTATTATCATTTTAGTGTCATTCTCAATGTTATCGATTCTAAATCGATCCAAAATAACTTTGACTCAATTTTTTTAAAATAATAATTATGTGTCTCCAAAACATTTTGTATCCGAAAGAAAAATATTTTTATTGCGTTACTACCATTACCATCATTATAGATGGTTATATTTAATTATTACAATACCATTTCAATAGCGCTATTATCTTATTCTTCTTTCAACTTCGTTCTGAAATATCGACCGGAAAAACAGAATGTTTTTTACGCCCTCTGCGATTTATGGTCACATAGATATTATTATTTATTATAAAAAAATAAGTGTATATATATATATATATATATATATATTATCAAAATATTTAATAAGAAATATTTGATAAGATCCGATCAAAGAAAAGAAATATAATTATAAAATTCAATAATAAATTATGACAATGATATGATACATATGAGATGAATAGATATTATAATTTATATTTCGATATATAATATATATAAATCTGAAGATTGCATTGTGCAATCACAAAACTGTATTAGCAATGGAATAAAAAATTTATAGAAAAAGAAGCAAACTATTTTTTTCATAATATCCTTCTTTTTATCGAATATTTGTTTGAGAAAATATTACTATTTTTTTTAAAACTATGAACTGATTAATTATTATCATTTTTTTATGAATAAAAGAATTTCATATATAAAAAGATTATTATTTAATCAGCATTATTAATATTTTATGAATGCTTATTATATAAAATAAATCTATTTTGAAATAATAAAAAATATAAAATAAAAACAAAATTAGAATATATAGTATACAAACAAAATGTTTTTTTTTTTAAAATATTATGGAATCCATATTGAAATTTTTTCCGTTTTTGAAATTAAATAAGTTAATAATCCGTATGAAAAAAATAAAAATTTTCAAATAACTATATAAAATTAATCGGTTATTAAAATAAAACAATAATCAAGTATAAATTTCATTTTGAAAAATTATTAAATGAATTGAAACTATCAATAAACATCAAATAAATGAGTAAAAAAAAAAATATAATTTAATGTTGAAAAATTGCTAATTATAATAGTATTAAAATACTAATAATAAATAATATATAGCATTTTATTCCTATGAAATGAAATATAAATATTATTATATATAATTTATTTATTATTAAATATTTAAATTGCATATTTCAAGAATGGAATTTCTAATCAATATTTCTAATCATCAATTTCGATAATATAATGATAAATTGACAATTCATAATTTCGTTATCAAATAACGAATCAAGAAATATAATAAAAATCTAAAATGTAATAATAAAACTATAAAATGTATAAAAAAAATACTTTAAGAAAGCAACAAGTGAATTCAAAGGAAAAATAAACTATCGATAACCTCAACAATAGATAGAAAAAATATAAAAAAAAACATAAAACACTAATTAATTTTATTACAATGATAAATGAATTATTAAATACATAAAATTGATATTAATTTATAAATTAAACGACTATGAATAAAATTACTTACTGCGTAACTGAATCACGAAAGCCGGTTATAACCACACATCCTCTAACGACGACATTCTACATAAGACTAACATCGCGCGCTACAGCTCAAATAACAACTTTCTGATTGGTAAACCAATTCTATAATTAAATCATGCGAAAGATTAAATTCTTGTATATTGTAATTAAAAATATATTAAAAGCAAATAATTATTTATTTATTAATTTATAAGTATTAATAATTTATTAATTATTTATTAAATTTTTATATTTATATATTCTTTTATTATGTCATTTATTTGATTTATTTGTCGATTCATTTGTTTATTAATTAAGTTCAAAATATATATTATATAAGTATCAAAACTTATTATATATAGACTTCTTTATTTTATTATATATCAGTTTCATTTTTTTTAATTTCTAAATTTATTTAAATTACTTATATATTTATTCATACATTTTTTTAGTAATTTATTTGATTGATTTTTTTTCTGTTCATTTTTGCATCAATTTCTTTATTTATCTTCATTTATTTAATTATTTATATATTTATTATTTATTTCTTCATTTATTTATTTATTAATTTATTTAGCAATCTATTTATTTACTTATTTATATATTTATTTATTATAATTGAATTTTAAATATATTTTATATATTTATTCAATTAATTAAAAAAATATTTATATGTATATCATCAATTTTTTAAAAAAATTTATTTATTATTATATTGCTAATAGACATTAAATATTTATCATAATAATGAAATTATTATCATAATTATAATATTATTTTAATTTTTATATTAAATTAATTTTACTAATTTATTTTTAATATATTTTTAATTAAAATAATTAAAATATATATAATAATAATTCTAATTTTGATTATCTAATTTTTGTAGTAATTTATGAATATATATATATATTTTTAATTAAATAAATATATAAATAAATAAGTAAATAAGTAAATAAATAAGTAAGTAAATAGTAATAAATGAATAAATAGTGCCAAATAAATGAATAAAGTAGGTTTTTTATATTAAAAGATAATTATTTATTTATTTAATCTTCATAATAAGAAAAAAAAATTATGTTCATTATATTAATAATTTTGAAAATAAAAATTTGTTCAAGATGCAATAAAATTAGAAAAAATTAAGATATGATAAATTGTCTTTAAATTACCGTTTAATTAATAATTAATTATTTTATAATCAATCATTTATAATGTGCGCAAGTCAAAAAATATAAATTTTTATATACTTTATTTCTTATATACTTGATCTAGATTTCATTTATAGTTTTTATAGTAAAATTAGATTTAAATTCCAGTCGCAATATCCGTCATTAACATTATATCCATTTTTTATACTAAATCGATAATATTGCATGTATACAAAAATAAGTCAAGAAAATCATCTTTAAATTCTTAAGATATGAAAAAATCTTTCCACATCTTGCTTTGTAAAATCATAAGACAAAAAATATTATTATTAGTATAGTATATGTTTTAATTATTATTAATATACCTTATTTATAATTCTATTATTGACATAAAAATTAAGTTTTTTAAATTTTATATATAATATGTATGTATATATGCATGTACATATATGCATATAGATTATGTATAAAAACGTAACAAAAATGTATAAGTACATTATAACAATGTAACAAAAATGTATTATATCTATTGGTATATTCTAATTTTTAATTTTTTTTATCAATTTTCATGATTAGATTAAATATAATTTCTATATCCATTTCTAATGCATCCAAATCTAAATCGTAAAAGATAAATCAAAACTTGATATTTTGTACGATCGATATTTCAGAATATGCAACAAAAAATCTCATTGAATATGGATCTATTCTTACCTTGCTGTGATATTTATATTCATTTCCTATATTAATTTGCAATGGTATATAATTTTGTATAAATTAATTTATACAATTTTTAAAATCTTTTTTCACGAATAAGATCTTGGAAATTTATATTTTTCTTACTAAGAAAAAATGAGAAAATAATTTATCCTACTATTCAACACTCATCTATTTTTAAGAAATTTAAAATTTAATCTATTAAATGTAAAATGTTATGAATAAATGCATATTTATATTGGAATATAACAAAATTTTATTTTTTTATTAATTATTCTATATTGATTTTATTAATTTTGATAACCGAATTTCAATATAATTTCTAAATTCATCACTCCAAGATATCATAAAGCCTTTTTTTACACGATTGATATTTCATTTCGAATGACATTCTCACTTTAACTGAAGAAAGTTTATCCAAAAATCTATTGCCTAAGAAGATGCTATGAGTGTAATATCTATGTTATGGGAGTAGTAGAGAGGAAACAAATTAAAAGAAATTTGACGACGCCATCTACCTGATGATACAACGTACTATGTAATACTACAAAATAGTGGATCTAATATCAGATTCTACGTGCAGAGCTCTTCGGCAACGTTGGATCTATCCTATCCTTCATTTGTACTAATATAATCTGTATGTGAAATATAACCTTAAGAAACGTCAAATTTAACAAGCTTAATTTTAATATGTATCCATAGTATAAATACTTATATTAAAATGTAATGATTACATATTATTTAAATATCTTAATAAAAAGAAATTATTAATATGATGTCTGTTCATTTTAATGTTATTTGACGATTTCATCTATCAATAACATATGTATTTTCGAAATGGCACCTCTTACAGATTTGTTATCATGTAGCATAATTGAAAAAGATTCTAATGGTGATATATTATGGACATGGTCTTATCCGATAGTTTCTGAATCACAAAAAACAGTTGTTGCAAGAAAATGCAATTTAGAAGTAGAACATAATTCTCCCCAAGTATTTGTATTTTCAAGACATAAATATGATTGGTTTTATATACATTGTAGTGAAGTATTTGATTCAGATAAATTACCAAAAGTAAGTTATACAACTTTAAAAAAAACATGAACATAATTATATAGATATTATATTATATAATTAAATAAATGTATTTCAAAACTATTTTCAAAATAGGTGAAGCAATTCGCATTGATTTTATTTGCCAAGGATTTCAATCCAAGAAAGTATGAAGTATTGTCAAGAGTCCTTAGCAAAATGTATTGCAAAACTGGAAAACCAACAGAAATATTACAATTATATTTATCTGTATTTACAAAAGGCTCATGTTCTACTCAAGAAAATGGAACATTTGTCTCTGATGACTTTAATAGTCATTGTTTTATAATAAATACAAATATTAGAGAAATGATTAAAACATTTGAATTAGAAACAATATTGATATATACAGCTCTTCTTCTAAAAAAAAGAATAATAGTCTACCATCATAGTTTAGAACAATTATTGAAATGGATTGGAATATTTCCTGCACTGATGAAACATCGCAAAGTCACTGATAACTTGTTTCCTTGGATTGATTTAATTGATGATGAATTGGCAGAACTAAAAGTATATTAATTTATATAATTAATTACTTAAAATTATTATAAATTTAAACTAATTATATTTTTTATAGGGACAGTCATACTATATTGCAGGCTGTAGAAATAGTTCTATTTCATCAAGAACAGATTTATTTGATCTACTTATAAATATTCCAGCCAGAGAAATTACAGTTGCTTCGCATGCAAAAGGTAAAAGAAAAAAATTAAGTAAAAATACTTTTAAATACTATTATTTTTATAAACATATTATATTAAAATTACTAATTTTTTTAGAAAGCCTAACAATGACAAAAACACACAAAGAAATAGCTTTATTTATGATTCAATTAAGTGAAAATCAATCTTATATAGAAACTCAAATAATATCTGAAATAAATGATAAAACTCAAGATCTATTGAATCAGCTGAAATCTTTAGCTGTAGTTCAAGGTCCTGATGGAAGAAAAATGGTATCAGCGCAAACATTGAAAGAAAAAAATTTACCACCTGCAGTAGAAAATTTTTTAATTAACTTGGCTATAGCAGAAAATTTATTTTTATTGTAATTTTATATATTTTTATAAATATATTCATTTAATTATATTATAATTAAATAAATGATTTCATCATACTTAGTGTAGTACTTTGATTATAATTTTATAAAAAATCTAAAGAATTTAAATTTGAACTTATTAGAGATAAATATTGGAAATAGATCTTTACGACATCTAGTGTCAAATTTGCATATTATTCTTGTTCATAGATAATCGAAATTTTTCAAATATTTACAATAACTTTATCGATTTATTATTTACATATTAAAAATAATAAACTTAATTGTTCTTTTTAAAATATTTTATTAATATTAATTATTCTTAAAGTATTTAAAAATGAATTGGTTGATTTGACTTACATATTACAGGAAGCCATTTTTCTGTAATAGCCGTCTTTCATCCGGTACACGCGGTCGAGGTCCGCTGTGACAAACGTCGCGTGGTAAAAAAAAGTAAATTCTAGATTTTACATATATATTAGCGGATTTTGCGATAAGTTGTATGGTGTGAAATTAACTATATCCGTCTGAAAAAATGGCGCGATATGGACAAAGACCAGAAAATGCTCTAAAAAGAGCAAATGGTACGTATACTACTTCGTTAACAAGATATGACATGGCCGATAGCTATTTAATCCATACTTCAAAAATTCTTTTATTTTATTTATTTAGAAATTTCATAATCCATATTATTTTGCCTCTATTGCATGTCTATACAATATTGGTTAATCATATAAGTGATATTTTCTACTTGTTGTATAACGTTTATATTGTCTATAGTCACGTCTCTCATGTCTCTAGATTTTAAAAATATTAATGTCTAACCATATGTACCAAAAATAAAATAATCGTACAAGATTAGCACATCGGGAACAGAATGCAATAGTAAACAAAATATAACATTTGCTTTTGCTATATACATTATTCTAATTCATTGATGAATTATTTGATGAATTCACTATGCTTTTTTTTATAAAATAGATAAAAATTTCTGTATTTTTCATGTTATATTTTTCATACTGAAACTTAAAAATTTTTCTTTTTTGTATTATTAACATTGAATTGACTTTGATAGTATTATATCTATTTATTTATTCTATTACATAAACTTGACCTATATTTTTTATAACTATTAACATAGTTTATAAGAATTTTCATTGAATTATTATATATTATTATAAATATTGAATCAACAAATTACAAATCAAAATAATTATTAAATTATTTTTATTTAAAAGCTTAAAAAAACATTTCTTTTTTTTTTTTTGTACAGAATTCATTGAAGTAGGAAAGCCAGCTCGAGCATTAGATACTTTGCAAGAAGTCTTCCGCAACAAAAAATGGACATACAATTGGTCAGAATCGGTATTAGAACCTATAATGTTCAAATACCTAGACTTATGTGTAGAACTAAAAAAATCACATATAGCAAAGGAGGGCCTATTTCAATATCGAAATATGTTCCAATCAGTGAATGTTGGAAGTTTAGAAAATGTTATACGTGGATATTTACGTATGGCAGAAGAGAAAACAAATCAAGCACGAAAGCAGAGTCAACAAGCTGTTATAGATATAGATGATCTTGACAATTTAGCCACTCCAGAAAGTATTTTATTGTCGGCGGTTAGTGGTGAAGATGCTCAAGACCGAAGCGACCGCACTATCCTCACACCATGGGTGAAATTTCTATGGGAATCTTATTGCCAGTGTTTAGAATTATTAAGAACCAATGCTCATGTTGAAACATTGTATCATGATATTGCACGCATGGCCTTCCAATTTTGTCTTGAATATAATCGTAAGACTGAATTTCGTAAATTATGCGAAAAATTGCGAAAACACTTAGAAGAAATTTGTAAATTACCGGCGCTTGTTTCTAATGTTTCCATGAATAGAGCTGAAACACAACAATTGAATTTAGAAACGCGATTGAATCAACTTGATTCTGCAATACAAATGGAGCTATGGCAAGAAGCATTTAAATCCTCTGAAGATGTACATGGTATGATGAATTTATCTAAAAAACTTCCAGTACCAAAAACCATGGCCAATTATTACCAAAAATTGGCTATGGTTTTCTGGAAAGCAGGAAACTATCTTTTCCATGCTGCTGCATTATTTAAATTGCTGCAGCTATCCCGTGAAATGAAAAAGAATATGTCTTTGGAGGAACAACAAAGAATGGCCAATCGTGTCTTATTGGCTACCTTGTCTATCCCACTGCCATCAGCTCATCCTGAATTTGATCGTTTTATCGAAACAGACAAGAGTCCATTAGAAAAAGCTCAAAAACTCGCAACGCTTTTAGGACTTACACAACCACCAACAAGAGTTTCCTTACTTAAAGATATTGTTCGTTTAAACATAGTCAATTTAGCATCACCGCAATTACAAGAATTATATTCGTGGCTTGAGGTTGAGTTTCATCCCTTAGAGCTATGTAGCCGAGTAGATTCCGTTATTCAGACGCTACAGGCAGATGAAAGCAGTCCTTTGATTCAATATATCCCAGCCTTGCAAGATGTAACTCTTGTACGTCTAGTTCATCAAATATCACAAGTTTATCAAACGATAAAATTTGCTAGGCTTTTGGAACTAGCTAAATTCACGACAGATTTTCACTTGGAACGTCTACTTGTAGATTGCGTTAGATACAATGATATGCAAATAAGAATTAGTCACGGAAAAAAATGTGTGCATTTCGGAGTCGATTTGTCGGAAGCACAAAGGGAAGATCATCCTGATGGTCCCGTGTTACAAGCAATGCCTTCTGAACAAATTCGTTGTCAACTTGTAAATATGGCTACTGTATTACATCGTGCAATTAATATTATTAATCCAAATAAAAAGAAGATGGAGCGTGAAAAATTACGTGCCGCCATGGTCAGCCATTATCATGAAACTAAAATGAAAGAACATCAAAGAATATTAGGAAGGCATAAAATTATAGAGGAAAGAAAGGAATATATAGAACATATAAATACAGTTCGCGAAGAAGAAGAGATGCGAAGACAAGAAGAATTGCAGAGACAGCAAATGTTAGCGGAACAAAAAAGACTTGAACAAGAGAGAGAAGAACGCGAGAGAAAACGGCAACAAAGCGAGATCCAACAGATTAAGGATCGTCATCTAAAAGAAAAGATGCAACAAATATCTCAAACTAGTCATGGACAGAAGGTTTTAAAGAAATTGGATGAGGATGAAATCAAAAAATTAGATGCAGAACAAATCGCAGCTCGAGAAGCTGAGGAATTGCAGAAAGAACGTAGGGAAATGCAGCAAAAATTAAAATCTCAGGAAAAGAAAATTGATTATTTGGAACGTGCCAAGCGTTTAGAAGAAATTCCACTCTTAGAAAAAGCAGTTGAAGAAAAAATGGAATTAGCTAAGCAACGTTGGGAGCAACAAGAAGCTGAAAGAATTGCTGCGGCTATCGAGGAAAGACAGCAGGCTGTCGCAACTCGTGAACGTATGGCAAGAATGAAAGAAGATCATGATATTTTCCTGGCAAAGATTTTGGCCGAGCGTAAGAGTATTTATTTAGAGAAATTAAAAGAATTCGAAAAAGTACTGAATGAAGAGCGAGTTAGCAGATTGTTAAAACGTAAAATGGAGCGTAAAGCTGAACGCAAAGCCAAATGGGAGAAGGAACGAGCTGAAGCTATTGAAAGAAGACGTCTAGAAGAATTACGAATTAAACAAGAAGAAGAAAAACGACGTTTGGAAGAAGAAAGAGCTAAGAGAGAAGAGGAAGAGAGATTAAGGCGTGCAGAAGAAGAAGCAAGGGAAGCTGAACGTTTAGCCAAAATTGAGAAACAAGCAGAGATTACTAGAGCTAGAGAAGCTGAGATAGAACGAAAATTAGAAGAGGAGAGACAGAGAGACAAGGAAATATCTGATAGGTGGAGACGTGGAGATCGCCATCGTATGCAAGAAAAACCAGGTATATATATTTAATATATTTATTTGTATTATATGTTTTTAGGGATTACATAATTTTAATACTGTTTATTTGATTATAGTCGAAATGTCATGGCGTCGTCCTGTTGATGCAAAAGATGACGGTATTAAAGAAGAATCGACTCGTTGGAAAAGACGAGACGCAAGAGATATGGACAATAAATGGCGTAAGGATGATGATAAACCGAAAAAAGATACCAACGAAAGATGGAGAAAAGATGATTATGATAAAGATGATACGAGGGATAATAGAGATCGAATAGATAAAGATCGTGGAATAGATGGACGTTCAGTAAGTATAAAATAATATAAAAACTTTTAATAAATTTATAAATAAAACATGTTCGTATTTAATTTCACAGATGCGTGATATTTCACGTGATCCAATATCTGATGGGCCTCGTAATCGTGGTAGAATGCCTGATCGTCGTGGTGGTGGTGGCGGCGGCGGCGGCGGTGGTAGTGGCGGTGGTGGTAGCGGTGGCAGTGGTGGTGGTAGTCATCGTCGGGAAGAAACGATGCGTAACATTAGCAGTCAAAATTGGCGCGATAAAAGCGATGCAATACAAAATTCACCTCGAGATTTACCAAGACGTGATGAAAAGTAAGGATACTTTTATTAATTTAGATATTAATTTCAATAATAAAGATTAATATGATTATTTTAAATATCAATATATATACAAATCATTAAAGAAAATTTTTAAATTAATAGACGAGATGATTCTAAAGATGACAGACTTCCACCAAAACATGACGAAAGAAAACGACCACCAGAAGATGATGGACCAGGTTGGTCACAGGTGAGTCGACGTTAACACGGGGTCAGCAACAATCTATAGAAACAACGTTATTATTCTTCAAGAACAGTGCATAATATGCAGTTAGACTTTTGCCTAAAAGTACTTGATGGGCCCAACTCTACTGTTTTGTGCACCATTTCATTTTTCTCCGAACATACTTGTAATAAGAGTATCAGGAAAAAGCACAAAAATGTATGGGTCGTAGCCAATTCATACATTCGTCATATGAATAAAAAAAAAAAAAAAAAAAAAAAAAATAGAAATGCAATGTTAATAGCTTATGATAAGATTAAGTTTTTATGATTTTTCTAATATGACAAGAATTCGACTAAATCGACTACACTGCATTATGTTTATTAGATTTGTAAAAAAAAGAAAAGTGAAAAAACTCAGAAAGCTTAAATACAGTATATATATATATATATGAAATATGAATTAATGTACAGAGTAGAAGGAATTGGAGAATTGTATGAATATTGACGATATTGAATTGGCTAGACTAACTTGATGACAGAGGTTGAAAGTCTCAAAACGTTAATAAAGTTCTCTTGTATTCTAATTATTACGTTAATTTTTTATAAAACCGGAACACATCGCCGTAATACCTTCTCTCTGGAAAAAGAAAGTAAAAGAAGTAATTGTGTGAATTTGAAAGATCTACAATAATCTTCCGCACACATCCGAGGCAACGATTTTTAGCTTGTATGATAATGCAACAAAGTTTTGAGACAAATGTAAAAGCAAACCTTTTTTATTATGGTATAAATGCAGATCTACGCATCTTATCTGTATTGTCTTTTTAATTGTTTTATTACATTTATGATATAGTTAATTAAGATACTACGTAATAAATAAATCACTACAGAGTATCAAACTCCGTTTCTATTTACAACCTGTGAAATTTGAATTTCTTTTTAATCACCTCGTACATAAGTACAACCACAAACACATGGATAGGAAATATAAACACGCCCATTTATTTTATCATTCATCTAAAAGGCAAGATGTGCATGTATGTTATTTTTCTTAGATTCTAATTATTATTTATATTGTAAACAAAAAAAAATGTTGAAAGTTTTTTTTAAAAGAAGGAAGATTAATTTAAAGATTAATAAATGCAAAAATGAATATTTTTAGATGCATAAAAGATAACAAAAAAAAATATTTAGATTATAAATTGACAAATATAATTCAACAATTATAAGAAAAAAGAATACTACTATTATAGTAGAATAAATTGCGCTTGATGCGTATACAAAGTATTAATATATTTGTGGCAGATGTTTAAAGAATTGCAAATTCTTTAAATTGCTTATAAGTTAATAGAAAAGATAGAGTATCCTACAAATATATTAACATCTTGTATATTTATGTCTAATCGAGATATTTCTTGCAAGTATTACAAAAAAATAATAGCATAATTCAACATCATATAGCATATAGTATATACTTTGTATGCTATATATACTATATATATATATGTACTGAACTTTATTATTACTAATCAAAATGTTTAAATTCACCTAATATTATGGTGAAAATCCATAACTAATTTCATGTAAAAATCATCAATTATACAGCTTGGTTTTCACTCTCGATAATTTCAACGGTCTGAAAATCCTGCGGTTATGTTTTCCAAATAGAATATTTAATTGGAAATTACAGATCTAATCAAAATGTATTTTGACATAATTTTGATAAAAATCGACGACAAAAATTGTATCTGCTATTCCCACACTCAATTTGATAAAATGTTTATAAAAAATCTTGATTTTGCACGATTAAATTCGTCTATTGATTATGAATAATCTTGAATAATTGAATTGTATAAATTGGATATTTTCAGAAAAATTTTATATTGCAATTTTAAGATTATATTATTATATAATAATTCTATTAACGTGCTTGCTCCTTTGTTTCCTTTTAATACTATAATGTTAAGTATGCTAACATTTAGGAACTTGTCGTTTCTCGAATAGCAAAATTATTGCAATCTGCTTTCTGCTTAATCGATCCTCACGTCGCACACTAACAGATATGAGCAGCACTTTGTAATTTTTGTAATGGATTTCTTGTCTCTGAGATCTGGCTCAAGAATTTCAAAGTTCAATACAGCATTATTGCCGCAGCAGTCTTTTCCTCCAATGCCGGAATTGTCTCCAGACGTTCGATCTTGTCTCGTCCTGAGCCCCAACCGACCAATGCTATGCTGATTAAATGTACTACACCAGCGCATACAACGAGCCTGAAAAGAAAATAACAGAAATTAAAATGGTTAATTATCTATTTTACTTTTTTTGAAATTTGAAATTTTATAATTTTACATTAATTAGAAAAAAAAAGTTATATTTTATCTTAGAATAAGATTTTTTATTTTCTTTATCATATTATTCACAAATTCTTTTAAATTTTTTTTTCCTTTTATTTTTTCTAATACATTTAGAATAATGATTAAAAGATTTAATTTATATTAGAAATCTTATTTTGATTTATCTATTTCAACAATGAAAACTAAAAGTTTTACGACTTACATTCACTATTCATAATTTGAAAAAGTTAAATTTTATTGAAAATTTAATATTGAGAATTTTAATGAATTTAAATGAATTGAAATGTATGAAATATTTTAATATTTGATATATAAAATTTATCAATGATAAAAATGTAAGATCATTGATGAAACCTCGTCGAGATTTTCCATTATGAACATATTCTTATTCTCGAACAAAAAAATAAAAAAATATCTTACCAAAATGAATAACCAAGCTCAGCAGAACCTTCACTGGTCCACATATTATCAATATCCTCCTTAGGAAGCACATTGAAGTATAGCTTTGTGTAATATTGCGCCAGCCAAGTGCTCGTACTCGCCATGCACATTAATACTAAATTATATACCAATTATAAATCAGTATTATTATCAAATAATTTATAATACAACATAATTGCGCAAATAATTCAATAAATTTTTATCTAATTTGAAAACATTTTTCTTTTTTAATAAAAAAGATTTTAATGATTATAAATATTAAAAAGAAATACAGGAATTTTAACTTACACGTTAAAATATTTATGAAATATACTCCAGGATCAGAAAGGATCTTGGATCTAGGTGAAGTGGCTGTATTCAAAACAGCGAGTAAAGCAGCTAGACCAGCAGTGACAAGTGCAGCCGAGGTTGTCGTTAAAGTACTTATCCAAAGTCCCCAGGACATCACTGTGGGGTCTTGCTTGATCATTTGAGGCACTAGAATGAAACAGACGATTACTTTTTATATGATAACTGTAATAATAACCTTCTCAGGAATAAAAATCAACGATCAACGAAACTTCATTATCTCATATTTATGTTTCAAACATTTACATTTAAAATTTGCAATTAATACACAATATTTTCTATATATACAGAATCATAATTAAAAATAAAAACATTAATATAAAAACAGCATCTGCTTTTATATTTTTTTATAATAAAATTTATTTACTTTATCTTCTAAAAGGATTCTTTAAGATTCTTATAAATAGTTAATTAGAAATTAATGAAATTAAAAACAAGAATAAATATTTAAAAATTAATTTGAGATAACGAATTATTATTATTATTATTATTATTAATCTAAGCAATCCATCATTATTTGTGAAAAAGTTTCATTCACTTTAGAATCCACTTTTTTCGAGTAAACCGAATCTCACTTTGGATTGGCGTGCAAACTGAAGTTATCGTGGCACATAATGAATAATTAAACGTGCAGTAAATACTCTTGCTTTGGCCAGTTCAAGTTATATTGCATCGCAAATAACGGATTATTTAATTAACCGCAGGCGAGGTTCTCAGTGAATCGCCAAGTTAACAACTTGCGTCCACGAAAGGACATCCGAAGAATTTTTCAAGAGTTACGATTTCTCTCTCGACTTCGACGCTCCAACACTCGTGAAACACTCGTGAATTTTAGTTAATAATGAATATATAAATTTTTGAAATTTCATATCGATAACACATTGTATTCATTTTTCAATTGTTAACAATAGAAAATTATTAAATTCTAATTCAATTCCTCCAAAAAAAAAAAAAACTGTTGAACATCAGATCAATGATAAAGTTTCAGCATAAAAAGAAGAAAAGTAAAAACGTGAATAAGAACAAAACAAAAAAAATGCGCGTTTTTCGTTAGCCATGAAATTTTTCCAACAAGAAAAAGATATTCTTCGGAATTAGATGAAGTATAAAAAAAAAAAAGAAAAAATATACAAAGGTAACCACAATTAATCAAAGTAAAATACGAGAGAATATGAGAAATGTGATCCATGACTTTCGTTGACCGTGAAAGTTTTTCGAAAAAAAAAAAAAAAGGAATTTTAATATTCTCCGTGGTCAGCATCTGAGAGCAGTCGATGATACGAGGCAGCTGGACACGTGAAAGTCGACCACGAGGCAGTGTCGTGGATTTTTGCACACTCAGAAACCAGTTTCTGCTCCTATTGTTACAACCATCTCGGTTATTCTCGCGCATGGAATCTTTCCCTCGGGCCTCTTTTCTCCATTCAACCGTTCCTTCTGTCTGCCTCTATGCGTGGGTGTCGCAAAAGTTCTAATGAAATTCCCGATGACAAGAAATTAGAAACGTATACATACATCAGATATATTTCCCAATTCTCTATTATTAAATAATTTAAATAGATGCGAAATTATTGATTTAAACATTTTGATAAAAAATTGTTTTTCTTTTTCTTTTTTTTTTTTTTTTTTACTTCATTATATCAAAAAATATTCTACGATTATGATTTAGAATTCATCTTAGATTGTAAGTTTTCAGCCAATTTATCGATAACAAATACGTTCGTAATCGAATAATCGTGGATTTTCTACTTTCTTATTGTATTATCTACGATCAATTTTTTTTTTTTTTTTTAGTAAATCATAATTTAGCATTCAATCGTTAAAAAAAAAAGATTATCAACATAAAATTTCATTAATAATTAACGACTCGTGAACCCTCGACGCGATAAACTTGTGATTCGCAAGAAAAATAAAAATCCATTTAAAAAAAGGAAAAAGGAAAAGAATAATAAGTCCCTTTCACTTGTAACATTAATTACAGTATTTTCAACGAATGATCAAAGCGAATATGCCAGTTGCGTGCATCAGCGTAATTAATTCTTTTCTCGATTATCAATGGATTATATCCAATAGACAAGGACGAATGGAATTAATAAACGTTTACACTGATCCCATTGCGATACGCATACCAATGGCCGACACAACAGATACAGATAAAACGAAAAAGCTGTTATTGACCTCACGTTTAAAGGTAGTAAACTATACGATAGTTAATCGTGCACATCACGCAACTGTCGTTACATACACGATCAATTCGTACGTGTCCCTTTGGGATGATTTTCTAGCTCGATGAAAGAGAAACATTTTTTACGATGCGTGCCAAGAATCTCATTGTCCCTGTCAATGAGAGAGAAAGAGATGGCTGAACATAACACGATGACAGCTCGATATAGCTGTTTTTACGTGTATACAAAATTGATTGATAAACAAGGATCATGCTTATGCTTCGATTAATTAAAACAAGAATTTTTTAATAAGTGTGATATATTCGTTAATGATGAACTTTATTACTTGTGCATTTTGTGTTAAATTGTGTTCTGCGAGGTTGGAAATTATGCTTATCTCGAATCTATAATTGTTTTTAATTGTTAAAAAAAAAATTGAAATATAAGGAATGATATTAAATTTCAATATCAAATGTTGTCAATGGAAGTATAATATTTTTTCTTTTTTAATTTAGAAATTATCCGCAATGAAGAATTTTAATGCGGTTGTTATTCGATACTTATTGAATCGATCATTATTGAATCGGAATAGAAGAAAGTAACAAAGAAAATATCATGTTCCTAGGATGAAAATCATTTGTAATTAGAATGGTAATGTGGTTGATGCTTTACATTTAGCTGCCACTGGATCAAATTGCTTGGCCACGAAGCTCTAATTACTGTTCTACTGTATTCTCCAGTTTCCATAATTATAATCTGCATATTGAATTTTGAAGTTGTGAAAGAATGTAAAATGAAATGAAAATTTCTTTACAGAGTGGACATAACGAAATAAAAAAGATTATAGCTTAAAAATATAATATAAATAGCTTACAATTATTTGAGATGAATCTATCGAGATGTATAACACCCTATATTGATGATTTTTAAATTTATTCGAGAGAATAAGAGAACAAGATAGCCTTTTTTAAATATGTTTGTAAAAAATTGTTACTATATTGAAACTTGAACATTATTTTAATATTTATTCATTGAACGTTTGGGCATTTCGTTTCCATTTTAGAATAAAAAAATAAAATATCACAAAAAAATCAATAAATTAATCTTAATTTGATATCATGGACAAATAATAAATAAAATTTTTAATATATAATATCAATCGTTATAAATTTAAAAAGAATCATTTATCTAAACTATTTTTTAAATGTCTGACTACGTATCTACAACACACATCATGTTTATATACATTTGATTCAAACTTAATTGATCATTCATACATTTTAAATATGAGCAAAAAATTTGGATCATGATAAGATAACAAGCATATTTCATATAATTTCCCTTTTAGAGGACAGCTTTTTGTGTCCGGTCTCTTGCGAAAATTATGCCGCGACCGAAGTGCGTGAGACGAACCGTTATACACGGTGAGCCCATAAAATTGTTATTCAAATGTTTCAGCTGCCGGGCAGCGTACCCTAGGGATTACGTGTACCGACTGAGTTCACTTTGAGGGTAAGATGCTTGGAGGGAAAGAGAGCGAAGTTTTCGCTCGAGTGCCCGACCAGCATTGTACCACCGCTTATGGCACGATAACAGTTTCCTTCGACAATAACGATTTCAGTATCAGGATGACAGGACACGCGAGCATTAAAAACAGTCTTGTTAGTAGAGTTCGATTGAGAAGCTGAGAAAAATTCGGCTCATATAGATGTGAACTCATTACTTAATTTTTAACGTAAGGTACAAGTTGAGTTTCTTTTTCTTCTTTTTCTTTTATAATTCTATGAAATTTGAAGAAATTCTTTAATGAATTTATTTAACAAACTTATTAACATATATTTTTAATAAATTATTATGATACGTTTAAAATATGAAAAAAGTTGCGCATGATGTTTATGCAGAATGATTTAGGTTAGGTTACGTTAAGCAATTCAATGTTTATGTATGCTCTCATTATCTCTCGCTTTGTCTGATAGCATATAATAGAGCAATTGTACGATTTAAAAGAAAGATTAAAAGAACTCTTAAGAACGGATATACGATCAAGAAATAATTTTGTAATATATTGGAAATATATTGAAACTTTGATTGTAGGAATAATTGATCAAAAGATGTTTATCTTTTCTCAAGTGGTGAAAATTTTAGTACAAGAATATTATAACATGTTGAACGTTGAAAAAGAATTGATTTTTTATGAAGATCTATCTTAGAGATTTTGTAATAAAAGGTAAGAGACAATTAAAATATCTTCTCGATAATCTATATATATATATATATATATTTAAAAATTAAATCTAATAAATCATCAATTTCTAAAATTAATTGCAATTATTATTCACATTTATATTCTTGTCAACAATTATTCCCATTTCAATTTTTTCCATAATTCAAACTTCAAAAACTTGAAGAATAATGTCAAGAACGAAGAATCAAAACACATGTGAAACGAGATCAAAATATTCGTATTTCATCACATGATCAAACACAAACAATGTATGTATGTATTTCTTAACGAGCGAATGAGTGAATATCGCGAGTTAACAAGCCTAACCTTGTGAATCGAAAAATAAGAAGTATATTGTGGATGAAATGGAATTGATCCAAGCGTAACGATTAATATCAAATGGTAGATTTATGGGAGATAAACGTGCGACTTTGCTGTTTACCATCTCCCACAGAAATCGCGTGCAGGTACAGTTATGCCGAATGAGATTCTCCGGTCTGGCCAACTATCCGGTACAATTTATGGCCTTAGTATCACATTGGATACCCGAAGCACCAAAGAGAATTTTCCTCGGTGTGATTCTCTGACTGTAACTCGTAAGCTATTAATATTCCATGTTACATATCGAACTGGCAATATCAAAATCTCGCGCATTCCTTACAAAATGATTATATTATGTATATCTACTCCCATTACTCGTTAATTTTATTCTAAATGACATCCATATTTTTTTTAACAAAAATAAGAGGCAAATTAAATTATTTACTTCTGAACCTGAATTTTTATTATTTTTTAAAATTGAAAAAATTTTAAAACATTATTGAAGTCTCTAATTTAGTGAGCAGAATATCGTTATACGAAACGTTTAAAATATTTTTTTCAATAAAAATAAAAATTCGTTTCAAAGAAATTCAACAATAAAATCTTTTCTTCAACGATTTTTGTTTTTCACAGAATAAGTTGCGAACTTTATCAAAATATCTTGAAAATTATGAAATGACTTTTCCGATATTATAAATAACTCAATACTTTCTTATATTAAATAAGAAACTGCATCGACTAGTGCATTAAAAATTACGATTTTATTTAAAAAATTAAAATTGATTTTCATATGACTTCTATTATATTATATTTATTTAAAGAAAATTAATTAACATCGCATAACATATCTCATTATATCAAACAACTTTTACGAGAAATTTTAATTTTTTTAATTTTTCAATCTCTTCTGAGACATTTTATTTTTTCCAATTAAATGAAACATTCTATATACGCAATAAAAACATATTACGCTGTAATTGTAAAATATATAATTATTAGAGTTCGTTATCGATTGGTTACGTTGCAAGATAATCTGCTTGTCCTCTCAAGATAAAATTCTCACCCCTCGCATCGAAGAAAAGTTATATAAAACGAGTTGTTGGTGAGAAACTCGTTAGAAACTCAAATTAGTCAACGGTGAACAGATTGAATAATTTAACGTGTCTAGTACACGATTATAGCGAAAAAAACTACGTGGCCGGTATTTTAACTCATAAACTTCATCGTAAATTGAATTGAGCAAACAATACTGACTATTCTCATAGGAAAGTTTTTGCGTTTAGCAATCACGGGATGCCACTACCCGCACTTTAGACGCTTGAAAAACCGTCGAACTCCGTGTTCATGTTCGAAAAATTGTTATACGAAATATTTCATACAATGTTGAAATTAGATAAAAGATAATTATCAATATCAAGATCAAATATCCATTAATGAAGCGAAACTGTAAATGATTTAATTAATTGTTATAGGTAAAATGGATGATTGTTGGATGTTTTTGTATCATAAAGATATCTTAAAATACAATATGTGAAAGATTGTGAAAATTTTTAAATCTAATTTTCAAGTGCAATTAATACTCGATAATGCACTTGTTGTTGTATAAATAACGTATGTTTGATGAAAGAAATATAAGAAGAAGAAGAAAATAATTATTATTATTAATCATAATATTTTACTTAATTATTTCGAAACTAATGGAAAGATAAGTTTCAAGGTAATTGTGGAGAAGAATATATACAATTGTTATAATCTTTTGAGAGAGATATATATATATATATAATAAGTATACAATCTTATAAAGGAATAATTGGAAACGAATCGAATTTATTCGTTATTAAAAAATTATCAAGTGAAAAAAACAATTGATCGTATATGTATAACGATTAATATTGATTCAATTAATCTTGGTTTCAAGGAAGGCTATAAAATTTATAAAAACTAAAGATATAAAGATAATATATAATATTGTACAACACACGGATTTTTCTGAAATTCAGCATTTCAACCATATTTAAAATTATATTAAATTTAACAATATTACAATATTGAATATTTCTCAACACGTAAAGGAAAAGGAATTCATCAAAAAAAAAAAAAATAAGTTATTGTAAAATATTCAATTGTGAGAATGAATGAATAAAGAAAGTTCATTCGTTCAAAGTCATTTGTTTTTGTCATTATCTATGTTATATATATGTCTTATATATATGTATGTCTTATATATTGTTTATTAACTGTAGGTAATGACAAAATCACAATAAAATTCGTCAAAAAGAAAATTGTTATAATAGAAATAAAAAAATATAAAATTTCACCAAATAATCAATAATAAATAAGTTTTCTTTCCTTCGAATATTGAAAAAACGAATATAGAATTAACAAAGAATTTATAGCAAGAAAGAAATATATCTATTCTTTTTTTAGAAAAATAAAAAGAAACAGTTTATACGGTTATTTAGTTTATTTTCTGTTAAATGCAAGAGAAAAGTAGGATCTACACTCTTTCACGAGATATAAGATCATAATCTATAGAAAATCGTTTATTTTTTATTGAAATCTACCATATATCGGACGATATCAACTTTTTTTTAGATATATCACACGTATAATAGCTCAAAAATTGTCAATTTCTTTTGATGCAAAGAAATCCCCCCCCTATTGAAATCGAATAATTCAAATCAAATTTTAATTGTTGTTTGATTAAAGGAAAATCGATTCTAAATTATTTTTAATAAAACTCACCCGAAATATGATAGGTTCTCCAACCATAGGCGACGTTCAATTCCTTCTTTCCTTGGAGAAGGCCGAAATGAACTCTGCCCGCACTTTCTTGAGGATTTGGAGTTCTGAAGGGTCGCGCTTCCACCCAATGTTGCGTCACCAATGCGGCGCAGACCAGCCCACCGCCCAGCAACGAGAGGAAGAACGTGGCAAAAATCGTGCCCCTTCGAAACATAGACGTCATCCTTGGATCACGAGGCAACCCAGTCTTCGGATAGTTTGAGATCACTGGACAGAGGAGAAATGAAAAGAAGTGGCAAGTAATACCGGATGCGTGACTCGCATTCCTTCCATTCTGAGACCGACCAACCCGTGAAACTTCAATGAAGTTTATATACTGTGACAGGAAACAAGTTTGTGTACCGCGGAATTCCACTGTGTAATTAAACTATGGTACATGAAATTTGGTATATGATAAGTATGCATCGTTGTTGGCGATGAGACGAATGCGTAGTTCAAACAGTTGGGATTAAAAAAGGTTTAAAATAGAAAAGGGATAAGATAAATCTAAAACTAAATATGATGGGAAAGAAATTGTTAAATAAATTTTCATCGATATAACATTAAAAAAATTTCACAAGTTTGATTCATAAATTTGCAGATGATTCAAAAAAAACTTTTGTTTTTTGATGGATCAAAAAGATTTCCAAGAATTTTCAAAAGATTATAGGAATAAAAAATTATATCTATTCTTAAAATTAAGAGAAATTTCATACGTCATATATATATAAGGAAGATTTTAAAGAAAATTTTAAACAACAATTATGAAGATTTCAAAGGATTAAACAAAACTTGTGATTAAAGAAAAATCTATAAAGATTCTAAAAAAAGATTGCTACTATAACTAAGATTTTGGAAAAATTGAAGAGATCATGAAGAGAAAATTTTATTTAGAAATCCGTAATTCATTTTAGGGATTTAATAATACTAAATATTTAAATTGCAAAAATTTTGTAAAATCTTTTATATTCTAGAATCATTAGAATTTTTTAAAACTTTTCATGTTTCTAATGTCATTTCCTTTCTTTCTGTTAAAATCTTTTTAAATTTCTCTATATCATAAAATCTTTAAAATTTCACAATCTTCTGATCATTATCTATATTTCTAGAATTATTGAAATATTATTTAATTCTTTAATTATTTAAATCTTCAACCATATTTAGAATTTCCTACAATTTGATTCGTCATGTAATTAGAAATTTCCCGAAAGAGGAATCTTTTTTAAAAAAAAAAATCATTTAAATTTTTTAAAATCTATATTCATAAAATCTTTTGGAATCCTCATATCATTAAAATATTTAGAATTTCTCAATCACTTGGAATCACTTAAAATCTCTACAAGATTTTTATTTTATCATTAAAGATTTCATTTAATCGATACGTTATATCGCGTCATAAACTTAAGAGATACGTGAAAAAATGTCGTTCTATCATTAGTGCATGGTACATACAACTTGTTTCCTTGTACGTGCAAATGTGAAAACCATTCGAAGACAGCGCATATCTCACATCCAAATACGATGTCCGTTTATCGTTGACGGGTCATTGGAATGACATCTTATATTTGGAGAATGTTCCTTTCTCTTTAACCATTTTCTCTTTTCAGCGAAGCATCGTTTCAGACGTTTTGCACATGTGCTACCTCTGCAGTCACTCTCCGCGTAGGCATCGCTAGTCTACTTGACGACAGCAAGTATTTAAATAATGTTACAGAAACTATGTCACTTTCGCAACAATTATCCGGTTTGTTAGAAAAATCTTAGCGTGAAAGCGTCTCGATCAAAATGTACAATATATTTTTTTTGGTTGCAAACTTTTTCATCCTTTTGATCCTACTTATAACCGATATGATCTATATGATAGTGTACAATCTATAGTTGTTGACAATTCTAAGTTTCTTCTTCTTCTCATAATAATATATATATATTGTATATAGAATGAAAGAAATAACTTGATCATTTTTTGATAAAGAGAGAAAAAATATTTCAAAATTGAATGATACAAAGAAGAATATATACTGCATGTTGCTAATTCTTTTTTGGATATATATATATATATATATATATATATATATATATATATATATATATAATA